ATCTGCTTCGAGCTGTGCAGCACGAGACCTCTCAGCTTTGCGAAGCTTCTCCTCGTGTGCTCGGCAGGCGGGCTGTAGCTGGCGATTGAATTGATGGCCAAGCCACTGCATCCAGCCAAATAACATTGGTGAAAGCCTGGACCTGTCAATGATATCTGATATTGTGCCCCAGAAAGAGACGCACACAAGATGAGATACTGTATAGGGAACACCTAACCGCATGACAGCAAACGGGCCATCATTCAGGGTGTCAATAAGGCCTGCCCTGAGGGCGGCTGGACTGCAGTCGTGGAGATAAAGGAGACGGGCAACCGACTCCGACCGTTCGGGCCTCTCATGACCGCCAGATCCATGGACACGTGTTCCCAGTGCACGCTGTGCTTGAGTGCGACCAACATTAGGAGGGGTACCGTAGACGAGTAGGTCCTGGATGTGCAGGGACCCGCGGTCGAAACCATTGCTCATCGAGTGCATGGTGTAGTCAACATCGTTGTCGAACGGAGCAACAATGCTTGAGCAACTGGCCTTTTCAGCTACCTTGTAGACTTGCTTGGTCTTCTCGAGAGCAGCTGAGTCCAAACTCTTTTTTTTTTTGAGCACCTTTTTCCGCCTTACCAATCCCAGCTCAGCAGAATCCACATTGTGGAAGGTGGGTTGCCATGCCATCCCTTCGACCCTCGTACACCCTGCTCAACCGTCTCGTTCATCTCGTTCACCATCACGACCCTGTATTGCCTCTCGTGTCTGCTTTCGTATGGATGCCATCTCCTTCGTATGTTGCAATTCAGCCTCATCCCATACTACGTATTCGAGCAGTTCTGGTTTGATCCTGTCCAAGCCTTCATCACGAAGTCGCCTGAGTCCAAACTCTGAAGACCACGGCTTCCTGACTCCCTTGTCGTAGTGCTCAGTACTTCCTCGACTGTGACTTGGGATCGAGGCTTTCCTGTTGCTATGGCCGCCGCTTCTTCCCGGAACCAACGCTCAGTTTTGACCTTCCGTCTCTGGCTCTGGGCTGCGGCCTTGATGATTGAGGCGTTGCAGCTGAGACATGCCCCAACCAAATGTTGAGCACCGCAGTGGGGACATGCACGACGAGGGCCTCCCGTGGCGGGGGCTGGAAGCGCCAATGGCCTCGACTCGGGCTGCGGTGGCATAGAGCTTCTTGTAGCCACCGTTGGTGCTTCCGCTTCCTCGTCGATCATGGCGCAACAAAGTCGACATCGCCGAGAGCGAGGTGCGCCCCTGTTGCGGGAGGTGGTAATATCCTCATTCTCTTCGGCCTCAGGCATTGTGAACTCGGGAGCGTCCTCGGTAATGGGTTTGCGGTACATCTTCAACGACTACTTCAACCATCTCATCACCCTCAGCGTCGGACGCGTCCACAGAGAATACAGTCTTCTTCGCGGTGTCTCGAATGTAGAGCACACAGCTCCCGCGGCATAGCACTCCTTCGCTGGTTGTTTCAAACAGAATAGCAGTGCTCGAGCATCTCGGATGTGCTGAATACCATTTCGATATTCAGATTGGCTCGCACGCCACCACGATTGCCGAGCTCATCCAGCGCTGCTTTCGCGAAGTAGCAGTGGTATTTGCTGATTCACGGAAGCCGGGGTGCATGCAGTCCTCAAGGATGCATGAAAGCGGCATCATGCGTGGTCCTATGGTAGAGACGAGTTCCTCGCCACGTGCGAGAATCGGCGTGCCGTGGTAGGCCGCTGCATCTCCCAGGTCCTCCTTGTCGAGATCCTAAAACCAGGCCGTGGCGATCTCGTTGTCATCAGCCTGGTCTGCGATTTTCGCACTGTGTCCGTGACTGGCAGTGACTGGCACAAACCCATAGGGGCCAAATGCCACTATCAACCATGCCATTCCTCCGATCGTTCTTGGACCCTGCACACTGGAATCGGCCTTTCTTTGTTGTGCAGGCGATGATTGACAAAAGCCGTCGACGACCGATCCAGGTTTGTCGCTTTCTGCCGAGAAGATCAAGAAGCTCAGATACAGCAATCCACTTGCAGGCTTTGAGTTCGTTTTGAACTTCGATCCTCGGGCTGTACCGATGAGCCACTTTGAGATGCGATCATTCCATGCTGGTGGTTTGGCGAGGTTCTCCTTCGGGATTTCATCGCGGCTGACGATGATCATGTCATCGTCTTCAGGCCCACCATATGGTTCTCGTCACTCTCGCCCAACATGTAGTTGATCTCCTCATCATCGTTCCACTCATATCCAATGAGGTCCCTGGAGTCCGGAATCACTCGGCCACCGCTGGCCGGGGCTGCAGAGGAGGACGATGCTACCTGGGCTTACTGGCCTTCTTTGTGGCGCCGGCGCTGAAAGTCCGTCCGCTGAAAGTCCGATGTTCCTCTGTGCGGGAAGGCATTGCTGCAATTACCTCACTCATCGAATGATACCTGTAGGAAGTCCAGAAGAAGATGATGCGGCCACTGCTGAGGTTGGGCGAGATGTCTCGGCACTTGCATATTGAGCCTGGCGTTCTTCAACCGCACGTTGCTGAGCATAGTGCAACGACATCATCTCTTCGGGGATGTGTACTTCACGCATGCTTGTCACCGGAATCTCAGGCGGTGGGACATAAGTGCTCTTTTAAGGATCGGGGCAGCGCTCGGCTGCTTCACGTATCTTGGCCTGCCTTTTAAGGCGGCGGGATGTTTGCTCGTTCAAGAGGGTCCTGTCAAAGACATAGGCCATTGCATACTTGCGCTCGCGCATCGCATCAAACGGGAAGTTGGCCGTGAGCATCAGCATCGCGATCTGGTCCTCCGGGAGCCTCTTGCAAGTCGCCTCTGCTTGAACGAGGCGGGCGCGTTGACCAATTACATTGGCCAACGCTGCTCGGTGGGTGGAGTCCTCACGACAGTGGTATCCATCGTATTTGGGCACCGGGCAAGCAAGGCTGGCAGTGAAGGGTCCTCGTCCCCTAGCGTAGCCAAGGAACATTTGAACTGCCTCGCGATGCTCCTGCGGCAGCCGATAGTCTGCCGGGTCCGTGTCACTAAGCAGCTGGACTGCCCTGAAGGGCGGCTAGACGGCCAATCTGCCCACGTACGCCCGAAGCGATGTCCTTCCAGATCCCAAGAGCAGAGAGGGATGTTAGGGTCGATGAAATCGCAGCTGGGGCCGACAAGCTCATTCATTCCCCATCCATACGACGACGATGTCGATATGGAGTCTCTGTGGCTTGTCTGAAGCGGCCACCACTTCGTTCACCAGATCATGCACGCGATCAACCATTGGGCGGAGCGAAGCTCCCAAAACCGGCACGTACCTCAGGTGATTGTAGTGACTCAGGATGTTGCTGCCGGACATCAAGCCTTCGAAACCGCTCTGCAAGTTGCAGAATTTCTTCTTGCCTGCCATGAAGATGGTGTTGCTGTCTGAAACGACGATAAGTCCTCTTTCGTGGCCACGGCTACAGCCGGGCTGGATGCGAATGAGGTCCTCATCGCTCACCTCACACATCTTCCTCAGCGTTGGATACTGCTCCTTTGTTTTGCTTTGGTTGAGCGAAACCGAGGCTGCAAGCTGAGGTGGCTGGCCATGGTAAAGCATGGCAGTAGACCGCCAGTAATCTGGGTCGAGTGTCTGGGACACCTTCTCGCCGAACACTGCTGTCCATAACAGCCAGTGCGTCCACTCCAACCGTACAGCCTGACCCGAAGATGCCACCGTAAAAAGCAACGTCGGCTTGTTTCCCGCCTCACGGCGGTACATCGACACCGACGATGATGCTGCCATTGTTCTCGGCGTGATCTTTCGATCCGCTGAATCCGCTGCACGGAGGCCGACTAGGGAAACGTTTGGTTGAGATTCGTAGGCAGACTTCGTCGCCTTAACCTAAGTTGGTCGATGCGTCCTGAGCATCGTCGCTATATCCGCTATATTTGCTGTTGCTGACCTGAAGTCTTCCATGCGACCCTTGTCAGTTCCAGCCTGACAGCCCTGTGCACATCAAGATATTGGCATCCAATGCTATACAATGAACTTGTAACCCGAAAGTATTGCTGTCATCCGGACAACTGCACAGCACAACAAGTATGGTCATGGATGACAGACAAGCCATTTCTGAAATATCCATCAAGCTGATTCTAACCGCATTATTGACTTCAGAGAGTGATGCACATACGACTGAAAGTTCGTTTGAAAGTGACGCTCCCCCCTCATCGCGAACAGAAGTGATGAGGGTGATGAACTCAAACCAACGTGCTGCCAACGAATGATTACTTACCTTCCACCAATCATCCAAGATGAACCCCCCTGATCGCAACCGAAGCGACTACCAGTCCAAGGCAAAACGAATTGGTGCAAGTTGGGGGCAAAGTACATTGGAGAGTCCTTAGTATTGCGAGCCGCTCCTTCGACAACTTGATTGTTGGCCTTGGTTTGAGTCCTCGGCCCATCACAAAGAACCTCCGTTGAAATTCCCAAAGCTGACTGCAAAGTTCTCAATTTCTCTGAGGTTGCGACACCGTGTGCAACAAACTCTTAGCATCACGGTTGATAGCGAAAGAGGCCCATGTGTATCCTCTCCCCGCATGTTTCGCAATCCATTCATTCATGTCTTTGCAAGCAGTGGGATAAGATTTCCAACAGCGGTGATCCCTTGCATGCCACTGAATGCGAAGAATCCCCAGTTGTGGTAACACGACTCCTCAGAGGTCGTGAGCCTCGACTTCCGTCGACGACTCACCTTAGTCGGGAATTGACTGGCTAGGCTTTGCAACGCAGAGTAGCTGAAGTCCTGAGTCCGAAGAAGCTGTTCGGCGGCCCACCCAATCACCGGCCTCCGATAGCTGGGGGCTGCCATTGTCGGCTTGGCAACAAGGTGACTCTCCGAATCTTTGCCCTTCTTTGGGACTATATCGGGACAATGGTTGCGATTGATAAGCCGAAGTGCATGAAGCCACTTTGTTTTTTCGGCAAAGGGCTTCGTGAAGATGTCTGCTACCTGCTCGAGGGCGTCGACGTTGATCATGTTAAAAGTGCTTTACCTCGAGTTGTTGACGAAGCCAGCCAAAGCTTATGTTTTGGGTACGATCAGTATGCCGCATTTTCTCACTGTCGCCTTTGCTAACGATAGTGATGGTGGCTTGGTTGTCTTCCAAAAACTGAACTTGAAACTTATCGCTAAGTCCTACATTCAGACCTTGGAGGTTTGCGACCGACCTGCCACCTGCGAAACCGCCGTACCTGATCCCATCAGTCTCATCAAGTTCGCGATCGGCCGTTGCGAGGATCCCATCAATTCTCACCGGAGGCGTGGTCTTCGGCCTAACCTTGTGGTTGGCTGGGTCAACCTCAACCTGTTGCCACAGGAACAACCAAAGACTTAGGCTGGGAAGACCCTGAGCTCTCACGCCATGGTTAGCGCTGATGACCTCGCTCTCGGTACTAGACTCTAGACACGGTGATGCTGGTTTGCTTTTTGGAGAAAGCGTTCAGTGGGTAGTATGTGTTGGGCCCTGTTGGGCCCGACAAGGTACAGCACACCCCGAAGTAGACTTGCGGTCGTGCTCTCCGGACCAGTCGGCTTCACCCAAGCAACCACAATTGTCACGATCGCTTATCCTATCTCCAAGAAAGCCCTGCATCCTCACATCCAAAGAGGAATTAATGTAACAGACAAGCCTGCGCAAAGCCAAATTGCAATCCCTGCTCCATTTGGTGACACGGGCAGCTAAGCTTGGAGTCGCTCGCAGAAGGTCCCATCGGGCCACGCGTGCTGCGAACTGGATCTTCATCAACACCTTGCTCGCGATGGATTGGCGCCGGTAGGTTCTTCGCCTTCGATCGGTTTGGCCACCCTGCTTTCTGAGAAAGGCGTAGGCACAGTCGTTAAGGACTGTTTGCTGACTTTAGCGAGCTCACAGTACCTGTCTACGCAAGAGATCAAGAAATCTTTCACATCATAGATCATAACGTTGACGGGTTTGTCCATGGAGGGCACCGATTCCGTACAGATGGTATCGGTACCTGTGAACCTTTGCTCTTTCGCTTCCTTCTTGGCCCCGGCCTTCGACCTAGACCGCTTGCCATTGTAGGCAGCTAGAGCGCGTCTGGTCCGATCACTTCAGCGCTGGAGCTGGAGCCTGGGAGAGGGAAGATAGACCGGCCAGTCCACAATTCCTCGCGTTTGGGGTCTGTTGCTGTGTTGATATCATGTTCAACTATGGTTCCTTCATCTACATCGGTAAACCTCACGTTTGAGAGATCGGCGAATTTCTCAGCATCACGATTAGTCGGTATGTACAACCTCTTCCTGGGATACACTTGGTGACCAAGAACTGCGCCACGTTCGGGGTCGACTTCCCAGAAATCTTCACTCACTATCGGCCTCGGGTTACCCCGGGCTGGAGCAGCTGTCTTCTTGTCAAACACGTATGCAAAAGGATGTGCCGACCTTGGTAACTTGACCCCTGTTTTCTCAAAGTGATTACAACCGAAGTAGCGACCAAAAGGCTCAGGAGGATCCATGATCCATGTCAATGACAGTCTCAACCGTCGTAGCAGGACCTGCCATCTTAAAATCGTCAACGTAAATCACAGGCAACAAATCAAGCTCAGCGTGGTAAAAGATGCTTTGCCACATCTCAGGAAGAACAGCAGTCCAGCCTAATTACAGTCTTAAGCTGATCTTCACAATGCTGTTCCCAAATTCCGCCGGAATCGGGATGTTCGTAGAGTGCAAGCATAAGTGGGACTACAGGGTCCTGGTAACGACGCCATTCTTTAGGCCAGCGGTTTCCACGGCTTTGAAGAGAGCTTGCGTGTAGGCCTGTCTCGCATCAGCCTGCTGTTTTGCATACCCTGGCTGGCTACCGAAAACATCGATCACCTTCGCGGCCTCCATTGATGCGGGGCTGGAACCAAGTTCAGCGAAGATCGAGCGATCGTTATGCTCATCGGAAACCCTGTTATACCCTGGAATACACTGCGGGCCTCAGCTGCCACGTCTCGGTATTCACGAACCTTTTCATGCAACCAGCAAGATTTGTCAAAGAGCTTCTGCCATTCTTTATCCATAGCAGTTTTGGCCTCGGGTGTTCTGTCGATTTCGGCTTGGCTCACTACACGGGCGACCAAAGCGTATTGCTCAGCAGTAACAGAACCCAGTTTGGTCCAGAACAACGACGCAAGCTTCAGTGCCACAAGGTTCAGTAGGCATAGCGGGTGCTGCGTTCCGAGCCTCTTCATAGCTGCGGCCTCCCGTCTTAGGCGAGACTGATAACGTTCCTTATCGGCCCTCTCTGAGCCACAGACATCACGTGCCAGTCCTCGCTATAGATGTGTCAGGCGGACGCTGCGACCCCATTTTTGCTGCGGACAAGTCTCACTCCGTCGCAGTTGTAACCCAAAGGCACCGGAGTACCGCCGGGCATCACTGACGGGTCGTGAGCTCCAACAAACGGCTTCGGTTCGGCTTTCGCTTTTGGTTTTGTATCGGCCTCAGCTTTAGCTGGGCTGATTTTGTCGGTTGACGACCCTTTTCCAGAGTCTTTTCCTTCAGGGGATCTTTCCTCATCGGGAATGGGATGACTTCTGGAGGCTTTCTTCATCTTAGCAAGTTCCTCATAACAGTCAACACCACTTTCGAAGATGTTGTCGTGGTCATCAACAACATCGGTGACTTCACTAGAGCCTTTGTCCTTAGGACTAGTGCCCTGTGCAAAGCAGTTCTGGTCATCAAGCTGGGGTGGTCCCTTGTCCATCCCTTGTCCAAATCCTCCGAAACCGCAAGAGGAAACACGGCATCCCCTATAGGAAGTTCCATTCGTTTAGCCCTTACAACCTTGAGGTGGTCATTTTCTATAGCATCACGGCTACTCTTCAAGGGAGCTACAAGGTATTCCTGCCTCCAAATGAAGCCCGATTGCACGTGATACCCTGGACGAATGCCATCCGCTCCTTTCGGGGCTTAGACGCATTGGTGACGTTCTGCTTCGGATTGTTTCAGAACAACACCTTATTGCCGAACGGAACCAACCTTCCAGCAAAGTCCTCCCCGAAACGTTCCCCTCTTGGAAAGGTTCAGGGCCATCGCATGATGTTGTGCGGCCAGCGGCCACATCTTATCTGGGAGTCCTGCTTGAAGGAGATTGACCCGAGGACTGCCCTGATTTCTCTCTCAACCGCACTCTTGGTTTCGTTCACGTATGGTCGGGAAGTGTTGTGCCGGACTTTGTGCTTGAATGTTGCATCTTGGAGTTCAGGTGCATTATGAGAGTAGATGATCCCTACCTCATCCCCGACACGGAAGAAATGAAGTAGACGATGGTACACCTGCTCAGCTTCCTTCGTGCTCGACGGGTACACATTTCGAAAGTTCGTGCACACATCCTTCGCAACCAACGCAACCTTCTCTCCCTCAACACCAACGTCACGGAGATCCCTATTGATGATATGATCGACTGTCACATGGCCCCCAAACTTCTCAGACGCAACGGTAGAGGACCCCTCTCGCTTCCTGGCGTGTGGCGCTAGCATCTTGGCCTTTTGACACACCTTGCTTGCAGTAGGGGTTCTTGGGTCGATGGGTAAATTTGTGCTCGGCACTTTCGGCCTGCAGCTTAAGCTGGGCTGAACGCTTTTGGTCACTGGGTTCAGGCTCAGCTTCAGCTTCGCTATCCGGTTCGGGTTCGGGATCATCTTCGGGTCTTTTGAAGATCGTTAAAGACAGAACGGCAGGATCCGGGAGCTTCGCAACTCGGGTCTCCGAAGTCCGAATGTCAGCCTTACCGAAAACCCATGTAGTTCGAAAGACATGCTTCGGATACCTAGTGGCCGGAGTACGGAATGTTTTCGGCTTGTGTCCCACGAGCATTTGCGGAAACTTTGGGTGTGAAACCCATCCAGGTTTTGCTAGATAGCTTGCTTCGATAACTGGCGGTGGGTCCTTGCCATGCGCCGATTTGATTCCCGGATCAAGGACCTCATCCGGAGCGACTTCTTCGTCTTCGCTCTCTGCAGCCCCGGCGTGCCTTAAAACGCCGCTGTTTGGTGAAAACCCTGCTCCGACGAGATCCTAAGCACTGGAGCGATTGCCGTCTTATGACCGGTTGCTGGACTGGCTAGTGTGTTCTCGCCGATGACGGGTACCCTACCAAGGAGCCGTCTGTGGTTACAAGGGGACTTTCCGCATATACCAGTGGAAATCGAAACCTTCGTCCACGCAATGCCTTCCTATCGAACAAACTGGCGGGGTTGACTCCAACACATAGCACTCAAGGGTACTACCGAGTTCTGGAACCTCAAGTTTCACAGGCTTGTTCCCTTGCACCAGCCCGTTGGCAGTGATAAGAGAAACAGGGCGATCAGATCGTCCCACCGGCGTGCCTGAGAAGTGTGCCTCGTGATCGGATTTGCTGATCAAGTCCTCTTCGCTACCGGTGTCCGATAGGAAATCGAGACCTGGGACTAACCCCGCGCAAGCTGGCCTGATGCTCTTCTCACAACCCTCACACATGAAGCCTTCTTCCTCGCACTCGTAATCGCATGCAGCTGGGACGCAGACGCAGTCCACCATACATTGCGTGACCCTTTCAAACTGTTTGGAACAGAAAAACGGCTCGCTTGAGGTCCTGCGCATCCGGCCTCGGGCAATCCCGGACTGTAGCAAACACTTCTGCATATGTCCTAGGAAGATAGCTGTGTTTTCTACCCTTGCCCTCGGGTTCAACTGCGATCATTTGGGCCTCACGATCAAAACTCACACTGGGCATAGGCCTCAAGTAGAAGATTGTCTTGCCAACCCATAGATCGTCCGGCTTTCGGGGGGTTGCTTGTCTCCAGTCATACTGCTGTGTTGCGATAAACGGCTGTACCGGAAGAACCCTTTCGACCTTCACGTGACCCTTTATCTTCTTTGTGTTAATCGGGCACGAGTTGTCCGGGACATACCAATCATTGCGATACGTCTTGTGGTGCCCAATCAACCTTCGAATCCACCCTTGAAGTCAACTTCCCAAGAGTCATCATGACTGTTCTGGGTTCCTGGCGAGGCTGCTGCCGCTAGGGCGCACGCTGCCGGCTTCTCGGAATTTCCCTTCGACTTGATTCTCGGACTTCTTCCCCTACGAGGTGCTGGGGAATTCGCGCTTAAGGATTCCGGCTTTGGAGCGGCCGACTTCGGGGCTGCAGCTGACGGTTTCTCAACATCCTTATGCTGAAAACGGCATTGGTCACCTCGAGTGCATGTTCCCTCTTTCCAGAACCCGCAAGTCTTGTTGATTTTCTTCGTTCCCTTGTTTCCTTGCGGGGACCTCGAGCGCTTCTTGTGCAAGAAAAGAAAATTGTTGCCACGTTTGCAACTTCCCTTCAGGAAGTCATAACAAACTCCTTTGAGACTTAAGGATCGCGACTTGTTGGGACTTGGAATGACCGACCTACTTCTTCCTTGAACCTCTAGGGCTTTGCGATTTCTCGCGGCCACCTCTTCTTGAGGGGCTGGCAGAGTGGGGTGATGCAGCAGGACCATATATTTGTCGCCGTGCGAACGGGCGATCCGATCACGTGTCTTGCGTTTCCGTTCTCGGGTCAAGAGTCCCTTTATCGAGTTCTTCGGGAAGGCGTATGTGTGCTGTTCACTACCTTCTCTGGCCCTGTCGTAGATATCAAGGTCGTACTTGAACCTCGTGGATTGCCTGAGTTCTCGCAAGAAGCCGCAAGAAGATATCCCGGACATCACACTTTCCCAATTTGTTGACGAAGGTACTTAAGTCGTCTCCAATGAGCCTTACCGGCCTTACCTGAAGCAAGTCCTCCACCGAATACAGCGATCCAGCCCCTTCATTTGTTTTGAAGTACTGATCGAACAAGTACAACACCTGCCTTCCCCGTACTGCTCCGCCCTGCTCTTGTAAGCTTCTGTCTCCTTAAAGGATAAGGATCTCCCTTGCAAGTGCGCCCTTGGCCACCTTGGTTAGAAAGTAACAAAAGTTACCCGGATCTCGCAAATCATCATGACTCGCATCCACGGCGTAGACCTGCAAGATCCATTGGAATGCTTCGTCAGGAGAGTCCGACGCTGCGCGCACAGCCTCCCTGGTGGCGGTCTTCCACGAACGATACGTCGCGGCGATGGGGAATTCAGGCAAGTTGATGTTTTCAGCTTCCTTGATCTTTGACTTACTCTCTTCGGTACTCGTTTCGCCTTTGAGACTCTTCAGGCTGTTGAGAATAGCCGTTTGGGTTTCAAGAAGCGCATGGATGCGCATGGTTCCCAAGACTCGGCGTGCCGTGTTCGGCCGCTGAAAGGGCCGTCTCACCAGGCACGGATGATCTACCCGGGTCTTCGGGAGCCTTCTGAGTTGCAGGGGCATGTTGAGTTGTTGCAGTTGTGTTCATACAGGCAAACAGTTCCCTAGCACTGTGAGGGATAGCATGGGCATTGGGAGCATGGGTCCTTCGAGGGCTGACGGGGTCGGAGATGCAGTCTTGGGCTCTGGGATGCCTGGCGGTTGACTCGGCTGACCCTTTGGGGTAGCTGCATCGTGCCTCTCCAAACTCTTTTCCTTCGCACGTTCTGCTGCTTCTAACTTCTAACTGGTCCTGAAGGTCCTCATTCTGTTCCTGAAGTTCACAGACGACAGACCTATGCTCATCCTTTGGCCTCTGCTTGTATTGCTGAAAGTTTGCTTGAAACTGCTGAACCATTTCATGTTGCGACTCCAAAATGGCCTTTGTCGCTTGTTCCTGCAAATTCTGTGCGCACCTCTGTTCCTGAAAGTGAACATCAAGTGCGTCTGAGATTCTAGCTTGTTGCGTTTCTTCCAATTCTTTTCGGAGTCTTACGTCATTGGCAGTAAAACTTCCTTGAGCGATTGCTAACTCGTTAAACAGTGACTGTTCCCTCTTCACTGCCTCCATCTCACAGTTTGAGATCATACCTTCGAGATTCAAGAGAGGCAACCTTTTCGGGTTGATTTCTCTCAGCATGCGGTTCTAAGTCTGCAATGCTGTACTCTGCTGCTTGCTCAACGGACTCCATGGCATACCTGTGTACCACTTCCGCTCTCGCTTCCACTTCCTGGACGCCAGCTTTCACCTGGGATGTGAACCTTTGTGAACCTCAAGACTTTGTGGTGTGTATGGGCCACTAGGGAGCGGACCTGCAGCTGGTAAGTCAATACTAGGAATAGTTTGAATGGTTATTCCCCTGTCTGCCCCTGTTCGGCTACCCATATTTGGGCGCTGCAGGGTGCACGATTGCTCTCTTCCATCTTAAATCTGAAAGACAGTTCGCTTGGCGAATCAACAGCCTCAGTTGGTATCAATTCAGGGGAGCTCATGACTCATGCGCTGATTGCCAGCGCAGTTGTAGTACCAAGCCGTAGGCTATACGGCTGATAACTTATAGATTGGGGAAACCGCGCTCACACGCACTGAGGTAATAATATCCGTACAAGTGTTGATAGGCTTGATAGGCTTATACCATGGCATGCGGACGCACATGTTTCGTATCAGAGCACTGTGGCAACAGTCGGTCACACAACGGATGAAAGGTTACACGGTAAGTTACACGTGCATATTCTACAACAGCCGCAATCACTGCACCATCTGTTCAAGGATAGAATATTGATGCTCATCAACGTGCTCGCCTGGAAGCCTCCTAAAACCCAAACCCCCAAACTGTTAGAATCTAAAGCTGGCACCCAAAGCCGCTACACCGCTAAACCCGGAAACCCGAAACCTTAAATGCCCTGAACCCTCGGTTTGGGGTTTGGGGGGGGCATGAACCCTAAACCTTGAGATCCCAAATGCGAAAGCCGGAGTCCTGGGCGAGGCCAAAGGAGACGGGCACAGCACGGCAGACGTATCCCCCTGCGTGGAGGGCATTTAGGGCTGAGGTGGCGACTGCATGGAGGATCAGAACATTGAACAGTGGGTGTTAAGTGATGACATGCGGAGCTCTGGCTCATTTGATGCTGCTTAAAAATGAACCATGGTTACGGACGTTGTCTACACAACAATCGTTTTGTAAAGCAGCGTACTGTACAGTAGCAGACAATCAGCAATGTAAGACGTATTGTGCTTTCAATTTACCTCAGTACGGCGCATGCCACCTTCAAGACATTACTGAACCGGCCAGAACACATGCATCACTTTGACTATACTTGGAAAATGGTACTACAGTGTAACTAGATTCCTAGTCAGATATCGTAGAGTATAAGATCGTATCCTGTAATAAGCGTTACGTCTTCAGACCCTGGTAATAGGTTTGGGCGCGAAGTTCAAGGAGTTCGCCCATGTGTGCTCCAAGTGTTGTAGAATACCAAGCAGTGTAGTGTGCTAAGGCTTCGTTTCAGATTGTACACACACCAACACTTAGCTGACTTAGCAGAGCATGTGGCTTTTGTGTGGTAAGTTAGCCTTTTTAAGTGCAACTAAGCTTGGCACAGACACCCTGACTGCTGGGCGCACCTCCATCGAGATAAGATCCGGCTGCATGGCCATGGCAACAGAAACTGTGCCAAATCTGCGATGTCTACATCATACGATGGTTGCGCAACGATTCTGTAAAGTGGTAGAATGCATGCAGCGATGGACAAGAATCAAGTTTAATGTTCACCTCGAGGAGCCCAACAAATCTCACGAGAAAGCGAAAACCTTAAACCCTGAACCCAGTCAGGAGCTATTTTGGCGGGGTGGGACCTTCCAGGCTTCAGGGCCCAAGCTTTATCATACCTGCATGTCCTGATATGACATAGCAACCTACTCAGTCACAATACTGCG